TGAGATTAAAGATCAATGTACTGAGAAGATGGCTCCGGAAGGCCCAGAAAACTCAAAAAAACTTATCCGGGCCATGGAACAACCATTCCCAAATTGGAACGGGCCGTTCCCAAGGTTGGAACGGCCCATTCCGAAACCAGAACGCCTCGTTCACCTTTTCAGAAAATTTTGTGTTGGGCAGCGTTTTTGGTTTTAACATATCTCTCTCTAAAAACCTAATTTTCACAATCTGACCGTTGAAGTTAAAGATCAATGTATTAATAAGATATCATCAAACTTTTAGCATGATCGAACGGTTAATGATTTCTTTAGAGGTCTCGCATTGCATCTGGAAAATATGAACCCTATACTAGACAGGGTTTTTGTTATGATAGTATCTATCACTACAAAGCTAATTCCAATGATCCAACCGTTGAAATTGAATATCAATATATTGTGAGGATATCATAAAAATACCAGCACGATCTGACGGTTAACGAGTTCTCCAGAGGTCCTGCATGGCACCTAGGAAAAGATTGTATTTTTATAAAATTTAGTCCCACATCGGATAGCTCTCTTATGTTTTTGTCTCCTCGTTGGCTATATAAGAAACCCCCTGGCCAAGGGATTAAAAAAAAAAAAAAGATGCGTAGCTTTCTCCCTCTCTATATAAACCTTTAAGTGATAGTGAGGTTTTAGTAGAGCAAAGGGTTGTCAAAGAGTGCCCTACACGCATTTGGGAAGATTATATTATAAAAAGGCTTGCTTTAGAGGTTCTAAATTATTCTCTTTTATTTATTCTTTTACTTTATTTTATTTATTATTTCATTTATTGTTTTATTTATTATTTCATTTATTATATTATTTCTTTATTTATCATTTTATTTATTTATAATTCTTATATATCAATAAATAATCATGTAGATAATAGGTATTTATTTGTCATGTAATTATTAAATTATAAAATGGGATAAGATATTTAAAATAGTATTTATTATTATGCTAATTTCATCATAGGGCACCATTTTAGGGCTTTGTGGGGGAGCCTAATATCTTCTCTACACGTAATCGACTCCCGAACCCAATTTTGACTATGAAGACCGTTTAATTTCAAAATCTTTTCTTTTTTCAACGTTTTGAGTAAAACATTTGGTGGCGAATCCATGAACTCATTTTTCAAAACCATTATTTGAGGATTAGTTTGGCGTCTGGGCATTCCTTAATTAATGAGATTTTTCAAAAAGGTAGTCCAAACCATTGGTTGTAAGATTGGAATTCTTTAGGTTACGACAAGTCTCGGTAAAGTTACTCCGCTCAATAACTTATGATGTATGTTGAATTTCATCGATTCAACTGTTAAATTAAAAGTTGTAAAAATATATAAATTATTATTTAAACCTTTAAAGTTATAATAAATAATTTAAATTATATCATAATATTAATTTTAAATAGAAATAAGTAGATTGTTAATTATAAAAGTAAGTATATATGCAAATAAAGATTAATTAAATATAATATAATTATTATTATTATACTTAAATATAATATAATTATTATATATATTATTATATTTTTATAACAGTCTGAACACACCAAAATGAGAGGGATCCAAAGATTGTAAAGTATGAGATTGTATAGTTGAGGATGACTTGAATGAATTAATTTGTACTATCTATATTAATAAGATGCATTTACTTTTCAGTAATTTATCTCATTAGAACTCTATAGTTATGCATGCTGAAAAGTAAAGTGTCGTGAAATAAAGTATTTTTTTAGTTATAAGAGAAAAAAAATAATTAATAATTATAAACAGTAATACAAATATAAATTTATAACTTAATTAAAATTATGATGGAAATCGAAATAGAAAAAAAAAATGGCTACATGTGACATTTTCTAAACTTTATAATTTCTTAAAACACGATTTTAACAAATTGATAATCTTAAGGTTTTTTAAAATAAAGTATTTTAAGCTCCAATTGAAAGTAATTTTGATAATTTATCAAAAATTTACTTATTTAAAAGGGAGTATTTGACAAGTTATGTATTATTTGAATTTGATGTTCTCTTAATCCTAGGTTTCAAAGGTAGGAGTTGTGATAACTTGTTATCTTAAAGTTTTCTTTTTCTAAATTAAAAATATAAAACTCATATCATAATCATTAATAATATTATTATAACATTTCAATAAAATTATTTAAAATCATCATAACAAAAAAAAAATTATTAGATTAATGATTAATTAGATGTGCCAGCTTCTTAATCTTCTAGTTTTGAGATACAAGTTGCAACTTATTCTCTTAACTTTTCACAAAAATAAAAATTTCAAGTCCAAATTAATTTCTATACCGTAATAATAATTAAAATTAAAGTATTCTAATGGATTAATTTTGATATACACCTTTATTAATTTTATATTTTGAGAAATATGAACTAAGATAGCTCAAAAATCTTATTTAATAAAAAAAAACCAAAATTTAATTAAAAAAACAGGAAAATCACGCCTGTGGAACCAAAAGAAGAAATATTATACTTATTTTTCATATTAATAATAAAATTTGGTTTTTGAAATAAGTACATATATTAAATACCTAAAACAAATTTGTGTCATTATAAATTAATTATGGATGATATAAAATTTTAAAAGTTATCGATAGTTTGTTTAATTATAAATATTGTAAAGTGTTAATATCTTTTCTACACACAATTAACTTTTGAATCCAAAATTTATTTTCATAAACCATTTTTTAAAAAAAATTCAATAATTTCTCTAAAATAAAATATCGATTACAATTTTCTAATTTTAACTTATTTTCACCATCTCATTTCAACTTTGATTGCAACAAAATCTTCTAAAAATACTTTTATATTCAAGAAATTCCAAATCTAAATTTCTTTCTAGGTGGATATTTTAGTAGTTTATTATGTCTCTAATAAATTAGGATATTCAATAATCATATCTAATTATTTTAATATTTATTCATTTTAAACTATTGATTATAGATATATGTAAAAAAATAATTATTACTTAAATTTATAACTTTTGAATTCTTAATATTTAGATAGAAATTGAAATAGAAGTAAAAAATAATAATTCGAAACAATAATATTACGAAAAATTCAGTTCATATTTGAAAATTAAAAGGAAAGTTGTAGTTTTATTTTAAAATTAGATTATTTTTATTTCATAAATCAAATTTCATGTATATGTGAAAAGTAATGGGTTAAGTGTAAATAATTTAAAAAATAAAGTAATTAATGAAGCTCATTTTAAATCATTAAAATTTCAAACAATTAAAAATAAAGCCTATAAAAAAAGTTTTATTAAATATATAGATGTTTATACTATGTGCTCAATTTTTCTTTGTTTCCTTCACCATCAATGGAAAATCAGTTACATTGAATTCGTGAAAGTGTGAAACCAAAAGTGGGTCCTCCTCTCCTTTTTAGTTCTTGCGTGCTTTTCGGCTTTCACTCTATATTTTTCAATGCGATTGAATGAAAGAAACGCTTATGTAGATGATATGCCGAGGTTGTGGATGGTGTTTCTTTTTTTACTTTCTTCCATTAATCAACACGCGTATTCAAGGTGTCACAAGAATATGAAATCAAGGATTAAAAGCCTGATCACCAATTATTTTCATAAATGCTAGAGGAAATTTTCCATCTTAAAGTAGTAGATAATCCAAACTGGACTTAATAATTAGCACCACAATTAATATCTTCAATTTTAGATCCATTTGACACTACTAAAATTTCTCTTATTACATGCGACTTTTCATGCGAATTTTGTATTAAAATTCACAACAAACATTATTTCTACGAATTTTTCTACAAATTTTTATCTGCAGGTAATACCTTCGTGGATAATATGTTTTTGCAAAATTTAAAATTCGTAAGAAATTTTACTGTAAAAGTTCTTGCAAAACCAATTCGCAAGAAAGTTTCCTGCAAAAACAAATTCGTAGGAAAGTTTCCTGCGAATTTTTTCGCAAGAAGTTCTGCAGGAAAATTTCTTGCGAAAAAAATCAAAGAAATTACTACAAATTCTATCAATAATTCTTCAACTTTCAAATGCTCACAATGAATCTATCCGAAGCATTTGCTACCACACTTGTGACACATAACCTTTTAAATTCTAAAATTGTAGATTATAAGCCTAACACTTAACCATACAAATCAACTTGTAAGGTAAGTGTTGCCCCAACTTATATACTTTTTAATTGTTTTATAATCAATCGATGTGGGACTTGAAGTTTTTTTAAAATATTAATTAGATCATGTCTTTAGAAAAATGATTAATTCATTAAATTGAACAACAATAGTTTTTTATTAAATAATTTTATTTTTAAAACTATCATTAAATTAAAATTAACTCATTATCATTAATTTATACATTTAATTAAAATAAATATTTAATTATGAATATTTAAAATTAAAATTAATTTTTATGAAATATTTAAAAATAATTTAGTAATATATTATTTTATGAAGTAAATACTTTTAATTTTAAAATGTTATAAATTATCATTAAATAAAAACACATTATCACTAATTTATCATATTTAAAATTTTTTATATAATTAATTCAATTTATATAAAATTAAAATTAATTATAATGACATATTTATAAATAATTTAGTAAAATAAGATTTATAATTAAAAATACTATAATTATTAAACTTATAAATTTAAATTTTTATTTTATTTTTCTGTGAATTAAAATTGGGAGGAAAATCCACAGGAAAAGTTACCTGCAAAATTTTTCTACCATTTAATAAACAATACTTGGAAATTTATTTTTACAAGAAAATCTGCAAGAAACAAAATAAAATTCTTACAGTATTTTCTATGAATTTTTACCATGGAAGAAAATTTCTATGATCATTAAAATTGTAGCAAATTTTGCAAAAATTTCTTGTAGTGGACCCGTTCGCTTAATTGCAATCAATTTTTTAATATTTTCTTGCACTATATATATATGGGTTTTGTTGAGCCTTACTTTCCATTATTCTCGAACATTGTAATGTTCTCTAATAAAATGAATTTGAAGTCCTTTTTGTTGCTATGTTTTCTTTCTGGGGTAGTTCTTATCACTACGGTGATGGGTGATGAGCCTTCTAAAAAAGGTATTGAGCACAAAGCTAATATTTGTGAATGACATGTAATTGATAAAAAGTATATTCAAAATATTAATTACATGCAAAAATGACATTTGGTTGAAAATGTAGGAGGATCAAATGAAAGTCAAGAAAACTCTAGTGTATGCGATGATGAGAATTACTGTAAGTATTTTCTTTCCTCTTCTCATGCTTTCTTTAATTTAATGCAACTATTTGCAAATCATACATGAATCTTGTTTATGCAGTTTTGAGCGGTAGGAAATTCCAGTTGAATCATGGTAGCGTTAACTGTAAAGGAAAGGGAAAACGAGGTGTCAAATATGGTGGTAGTAGATCTGAGAATGGGGGAGGCAATGAAGTTGGATTAAAAGCTGGTGGAAGTGTAAAAGGTGATAGTGAAGGAGGCCCCTCAAGTTTTGGTGGTGGTGGTGGTGGTACGAAAGGAGGGGGTAGTGTCAACGGTGCCGATAGCCCAGGTAGAGGAGGAAGTGTTGGAGGACTCCCAAGTTACGATGGTAGTGGAAGTGTAGAAGTCGATAGTGAAGGAGGTCCCCCAGGTTTTGGTGGTGGTGGTGGTGGTGGTACCAAAGGAGTACGTAGCGAAAGTGTCGGTAGTCTAGCAGGAAAAGGAAGTGTTGCAAGGTTCCAAAGTTATGGAAATGGTGGAACGGCAGTAGTTGATAGTGAAGACCTCCCCCCAGGTTTTGGTGGTGGTGGTCGTACGAATGGAGGAGGCAGTGTCAACAGTGCTGGTAGCCCAGGTGGAGGAGGAAGTGTAAGAATGGATAGTGAAGGAGGTCCCCCAGGTTTTGGTGGTGGTGGTACCAAAGGTGTAGCTAGTACTGAAAGTGTTGGTAGTCTAGCAAAAAAAGGAAGTGTTGCAAGGTTCCAAAGTTATGGAAATGGTGGAAATGCAGTAGTTGATAGTGAAGAACTCCCCCCAGGTTTTGGTGGTGGTGGTAGTGGTACGAATGGAGGAGGTAATGTCAACAGTGCTGGTAGACCAGGTGAAGGAGGAAGTGTAGGAATGGATAGTGAAGGAGGTCCCCCAGGTTTTGGTGGTGGTGGTGGTGGTGGTACCAAAGGTGTAGGTAGTACCAAAAGTGTTGGTAGTCTAGCAGGAAAAAGAAATGTTGCAAGGTTCCAAAGTTATGGCAATGGTGTAAATGCAGTAGTTGATAGTGAAGAACTCCCCCCAGGTTTTGGTGGTGGTGGTCGTATGAATAGAGGAGGTAGTGTCAACAGTGCTAGTAGCCCAAGTGGAGGAGGAAGTGTAGGAATGGATAGTGAAGGAGGTCCCCCAGGGTTTGGTGGTGGTGGGGGTGGTGGGTCCAAAGGTGTAGGTAGTACCAAAAGTGTTGGTAGTCTAGCAGGAAAAAGAAATGTTGCAAGGTTCCAAAGTTATGGAAATGGTGGAAATGCAGTAGTTGATAGTGAAGAACTCCCCCCAAGTTTTGGTGGTGCTGGTGGTGGTACGAATGGAAGAGGTAGTGTCGACAATGCTGGTAGCCAAGGTGGAGGAGGAAGTGTAGCAATGGATAGTGAAGGAGGTCCCCCAGGTTTTGGTGGTGCTGGTGGTGGTGCTAGTGGTACCAAAGGAGGTGGTAGCATTGGAGAAGAAGTTGGTGATGGAGAAAATTGATATAGTATTAATGAAGCTTTTAACATTAGGAAAAAATAAAATTATGTGTTGGTGGATATGCAGCCAACATCTAGAGTTAAACAGTTAATACTTGGTTCTTTGTTGAACTTGAATATAGCTATGAGAATAATAGTTGATTTCATTGTGCAAATGTCATGTAATGTTTTACCTTCATTTGTGAATGGTATATAATCTGGTATTAATTTGCAAGGAAGTTATATCCATAAACAATAGTTTCTTAAAATATTCAATAATCATATCTAATTATTTTAATAATTATTCATTTTAAACTATTGATTATAGATATATGTAAAAAACTAATTATTACTTAAGTTTATAATTTTTGAATTCTTAATATTTAGACAGAAATTGAAATAGAAGGAAAATTGTAGCTTTACTTTAAAATTAGATTATTTTTACTTCATAAATCATATTATGTCCTCAACTTGTCTTTGTTTCATTCACCATCAATCGAAAATCAGTTACATTGAATTCGTGAAAGCGTGAAACCAAAGTGGTTCCTCCTCTCTTCAATCCCTTTTTAGTTCTTGCGTGCTTTTCGGCTTTCAGTCTATCTTTTTCAATGTGATTGAATGAAAGAAAGGCTTATGTCGATGATATGCCGAGTTTGTGGATGATGTTTCTTTTTTACTTTCTTCCATTAATCAACACACGTATTCAAGGTGTCACAAAAATATGAAATCAGGGATTAAAAGCCTGATCATCACCAATTATCTTCATAAATGCTAGAGGAAATTTTCCATCTTAAAGTAGTAGATAATCAAAACTGGACTTAATAGTCAACACCACAATTAATATCTTCAATTTTAGATCCATTTCACATTACTAAAATTTCTCTTATTACATGCGACTTTTCATGAGAATTTTGTATTAAAATTCGCATCGAACATTATTCCTACGAATTTTTTTGCAAAATTTTAGCTTTAGGTAATACCTTCAAGGATAATATGTTTTTGCAAATTTTAAAATTCGTAAGAAATTTTCCTACGTATTTTTTTGCGAAAAAAATTCACAAGAAAGTTTCTTGCAAATTTTTTCACAAGAAATTCTGCAGGAAAATATCTTACAAAATAAATCAAAGAAATTACTACAAATTATATCAATAATTCTTCAACTTTCAAATACTCACAATGAATTCATTCGAAGCATACACATCAACTTGCAAGGTAAGTGTTGCTTTAACTTATACACTCTTTAATTGTTTTATTTTGAATCTATGTGGGACTTGAAATTTTTTTTAAATATTAATTAGATTATGTCTTTAGAAAAATGATTAATTCATTATATTCAACAACAAAATTATATTATTATAAATTATTTTAACTCTTAAAATATTCAATATTCTAAAAAAATTAGTTTTTTTATTAAATAATTTTATTTTTAAAAATTTCATTGAATTAAAATTAACTCATCAGAATTAATTTATACATTTAATGAAAATAAATAAATAATTATTAATATT